CGACCAACCCATCCATCGCCTGTTTTATTCTCGCCTGTCTGTCCCGTCCCTCGCCCTTTCTAAAGAGGGCCTGAGTTAATGGGGTGGCGCTCCGCATGGAAGAGAATGGGGGAAATAAAGGATTGGAATTTGCCGAACGTTGATTTCCTCAGAGCTCCGTGAGCTCCCAGTCAAGCACTACACCCGGTACGCCCTCCGTTTCGTTTTTCGAGTACATATTCGATTACTCCCCACCTACTTGAATGCGAATCTCCCCTTCGTAACACGGATGGACAGTAAGCCCTTAGGAAAGCTGAAGAAAAAAAACCCCTTCCTCTTTTCCTCCCACCCGAAAACTGGAAAAAAGCACACGCCGAATAGCGATTTGAAGCTCTTTTTTGACATTTGTGGGTGGCTCTGAAAAGAGCCTTTGTGTTTTATAAAAGCGACAAGATGTATCAAGAAGCGAGTTTAGCCGCCGAAGCCGTAGAGAGTGCGACCCTGGCGCTTAAGGGCGTAGACCACGTCCATGGCCGTGACCGTCTTCCTCTTGGCGTGCTCCGTGTAGGTGACGGCGTCGCGGATCACATTCTCCAGGAAGACCTTGAGCACACCGCGCGTCTCCTCGTAGATGAGCCCCGAGATGCGCTTGACGCCGCCGCGCCGAGCCAGGCGGCGGATGGCCGGCTTGGTGATGCCCTGGATGTTGTCGCGCAGCACCTTGCGGTGGCGCTTGGCGCCGCCCTTGCCGAGCCCCTTGCCGCCCTTGCCCCGGCCAGACATGATTCTGCACTCAAAGCTCGCAACTCAATGCGCTGGGAACGGCCCCTCGGCTCTGTATATGGGCGGCGGTCCGACCTGGTTGAGGACTGCCGAGGGAGGCGGGGTCTCCTGCCCGGTCCCCGCCCCCTGCTCCTCTCCTCGCCGCCAGCCCTGCGCGGCTCTGCTCGTGCTTCCCGCGAGACGCGGCCCAGGCGCGTTCCCAGCTGTGTCCCTTGGACGCTCCCGGCGGCTCCGCCTCTCCTGAGCGGTTCTGGCCTCGGCCCGCGTTTCTAGTCAGGGCATCATAGAATATTCTGAGAAGGGACCCACAAGGATCATCAAGCCCGAGTCTTAAGTGGTTGGCTCATACAGAGATTGAACCGACAATACTGCTCTTTTTATTACCGGGTACTAACCGATTTAATGTCGGGTCGCATACATTGTCCCTGCTTGCCGTCAGCCCGCGCGTCCTTTTGCTTCTTTCCTGTCCCGCCCGCTGCCCCCTGTGCTGGTGACAGTTCTACGGCAGCTCCGGGTCTATGTTAGTAGCTAGAGCGGGGCCTGCGACCCCCGGCCCGCCTTTCGGGCTGCGGCGCACCTTCCTCGTCCCTCCCCGCGGGTCTGCGGCAAAATCCGACCAATGCGGGGCCTCGCTCGGCGCTCCCGCCTCCCCCCGCCGCTCTTCCGCCGCCCGCTCGCGGGGAGCCCGGCGGAACAGGCTTTCCCGGGCCGCGCTGTCTTTGTTTGCTTCGGCCATAGCGGCTTCGCGTGTTTTTTGTCTACCCAGACACTCCCACAGCTGCCCCCTCCTCCGCGGGGCACGGAGCGTTCCGCGCTTTCATTTTCGCACGCATTCATTCATGTCGACTGCAGGTCGGTGCGAGGGGGAGCAGGGAGAAATGGTCAGTGAGGGGCTGCAGAGGGAAGCGTTTAGACCGGAGACTCCCTGGAGGCAGTCCGGAGGCGCTGTTGGAGAGCGCGGAAGGGACCGCCAGGCCCAGCCCCGCGCACAGGTCTCAGTGCTGCGCTGGCCGCAGGGCTGGGGCTCGCTCCCGGCACTGCCGGCCTCGGGAAGAAGTATCCGCTGCCGGACACTGAGATCCCGCAAGCGAAAGAAAGAATTACGGATATTACAAACAACTGTCTGTATGACAGCTGAAGAATGAACACTAGTGCAACAATTATTATTCCAATGAGGAATCCAGAATTTTTTTCTGTCTGTTTCATGCTTTTGCAGAAAACATGTCATACATGCTGCTTACAGTATGTTGGACTGTATTTGTGAAGTGATTGAATAAATATTGGCTTATAAGACTATTTCTAAATGAAATCTATTATGGTTTTAAATATTACTTGCACTGAATATATCTGATATGCCTAAGGTGCTTGCCAATTCTTCTATTATTATTATTTTATGTCTGTTACATGCCTACTGCTATAAAATTTTTCATATCCCTTAAAAATGGTGCAGTTATTTATTTAAAGTTTTTCCTTAATATAATGTAGAGAACGTCAGCAACATCTCCAAAATATTTCTGGGGATAAAATATTACCTAGATTCAGGGGAAATGCAATTGAGATAGTCATGCCTTCATTTACAGATGACAAAAGGGTACAAATTCTGTTTTAAGTATCACTGTGAATTTCTTTTTCTTTCAAATTTAAAGAATTGCCACTCAAATATACAGCATAAGAAGGAAAAAATATTTTTAATTTAGATTAGGATTGCCTTTTCAGCTGAACAGAATGAACTAAGACTGTTTATAGACTAACTGGAAGATTTGTCAATAGTGGGCCTGTCAGGCTGGTGCCTAACATTCCCTTTTGGCTCCACAAAATCTGCTTCGTTCTTTATATATGAAAATCTGTCTAACTATGTTTCCTGAGGCAGTTAGGAACAGCATTCTGATTACTTAAGAGACCTGAAAGAAATGATGCAAAATCTTTTGGTATGTCAAAATAATAATTTATTCCTAAGGCTTCCTAAATGCAGACTGAGGATCCTAGTATAACTTTTCCTTCCAGCAATGTAAGTACCACAAGACTTGGAAAATCCCCCTCAATTTCTGCCAGAGATGGGTGATGGAGAGGCTGAGACCAGACTTTAAGCTTAAAGTAAGTAAAACAGCTACAAACCCCTTTCCTCAATAGGTCTAGTACATTAGATATAATTTAATATCATGCCTTCTGGAAGGCTGCCTTGCCTATGTGTTGCTGCAAGTGTGCATGGACATGTTTCACAGGTGTGTCTGTTAGGGATATACATACAGTTCTTTTATGGATAAGAGCACTTTCTTAAACAAAAATAATTTAAAAAGAGAAGAAATAAAATTATGCTGCTGAATAAAATCCCTAGTAAAGTTATTTCTACTGTTAAGGTTTTTTTTATCTAAGTTTATCTTCCGATCCACATGTTAGAGATACCTCATTTCCCTCATGAATTTGGACACACAGCAGTAGGGTTAAATGAGAAAGGAAACCTTTGCAAAACTCAGCTAAGTTTAAAAAATTAAAAATCTGTAGCTTTTCAAGAGTGCATTAATTAGGACAGTTACCCTAGTTCCTCATTAAACTATAATGAGAAAATTGCATTTTTTTATTAAAATAAGGCAACATCTCACCATGACTGCACAAGAGGATACTGCACAGGAGGGTAATTAGCAAAAAAAGTCATTGCATCAGTGTATTGTAACCAACTTCAAAGCTGCTCCTAATTTTTTTGAGAGATTTAGTGGCAATTTAAATCCATATCTGTATCTGCTACAACTGTCACAATAGGTATAATAATGTGCAAACTAAAGTAATATCAGAGCTGCATAATAGGTACATTTTTCCTAGCATTGCAAGCAATATAGATGAAATGGGGTAGAAAGGCTCTTTGAATATTTAACCATGCAGTTTTAAGTCTTTTAATATACAAACTGGCATTACTGAATTATCCCCAGGCATAACTATGATCTATAGCATTTCAGGGACCTTGGTTGCAGGTTTGGATTTTTTTTTTTTTTTGTCACTAATTCTTTAGAATGTGAAGGTGCATTGCAACACAATGACACAGCTGAGGTACCATGTGATATGGATTTCCTCTTTCCTACTGCTTCTTGCATTTCCAACTAAGATAAATTCATTTATTTAAACTTGCTTAGCTGCATTCCTTCATCCACTGGAATTTGCCTGAAAGCTGTTTTTAACAACAGGAGATTTTCCAGCTCTCCTACTGTTTAATCCATCTGATTTACTGGACTTTTATGTTGGAAACCTTATCACTGGTGATGGCGACACCAGGTTAACAACTGGTGAAACTGGTTAAGACAAATCCAGAGAGTGTTAAGGAGTGGATCTAAGCATGACAGAGGATGAAACTCCAGGTACTGAGGTGAGAAGACTAATGAGTATAATAAGTGTTTGGAATGAAATTCTGAAGCAAATAAGAAATTCCTGGTCAGATGACAGGACGAATTTGAAGGGATACACTAGGTTTAGCACCACACTCAGAGAATGGGGCCCTCTCTTGTGCTATCAGCTCTGACCTCCACATGCAGGAGTTTGTCCACAGAGAAAGCCAACTCCTGCTTAGATATCTCTACCCCACACCTTTTTCTGGAATTCCAGTGCTTTGATCTAGAGATAGACACTTGTGCCCCAGAAAGCCCATCCTAATGAGGGGTGCAACAAAAGCAGCCTGAACTGAAGGTCGAGGCAGGTGGTTTTCCTGTTCCACTCAGCTCTCCTGAGACCCCACCTGGAGTGCTCTATGCAGCTCTGTGGTCTTCTGGCATAAGAAAAGACATTAATTTGGCAGAGCAGGTCCAGAGAGGGCCACAGAAATTATCAGAGGGCTAGGTAACCTTTCCTGTAAAGAAAGGCTGAGAGAGTTGCAGTTGTCTGGCCAGGAAAAAAACAGGTTCTGAGGAAATCCTATAGCAGCCTTTCAATAGAGAAGGCTTCTTTTCAGGCCTGTAGGGATAGGAGGAAGGACAATGATTTTACATTTAGACTGCACATAAGTAAGGCATTTTTTGCAAGGAGGCTTGTAGGACACTGAACAAGGGTGTCCAGAGAAAATGGGGATGCCTCATTCCTAGAGAATGCCATCCCTAGAGTCAGGCAGGATGGGGCTCTGAATAGCCAGGGCTAGTGAAAGGTGACCCTGCCCACAAGCAGGAGTTTTGGGTGAGATAATCTTTAATGGTCCCTTCCAACCCAAACCATTCTGAGATTGAAATTTTCTGACAAACACATATGTAGAAATTTCTTCTGAAAACTATGTATAGAAGACCCATGCATGTTAAAATAAAATTTTAATTACCATTGCAGATTTTAAAGAAGAGTAAGGGCCAGAGATATTTAGCAGTAGCAAATGATCAGTAAAACAGCATAATAAAACCACTACAACCCTAAATGTGTCCACTTAAAAACAAAACCTTTAGATGCAGACACAATCACTGTAAAATATTAGTCTGGTGCTCCAGCAGCTCTCTATATTTCTCTCCACAAATGATCCCTGATGCCCTGCTTTGGGCATGGCACAATGCTGCCTAAAAAGCCTGTCTACTACAGCCTGGGGATGGCTCCCCTAGCCAAGAGCACTCCTCCTTCTCTCCAGGAGATGGAAAGAGCAGAGGTGCAACAAAGATGAGACCAATCACCTCAGTGCAGTGTGCTACAGATCATCAGATGAGGCTTCTGGGACTATCCTAGCAAGAGGAATCAGTCAGACAGTTTTTCTCATAATTTATAATAATGAGTATGAAGAGATTTAAGATTGTGCTCTGGGGTGATATTTGTGCCAACAATATAGAAAACTCATTATTACCCACTGTCAATTGATGCAACAAGAGGAACAGCAATGGACAGTGAGAAAAGTTATGAGTAGAAAGTTTGAAAATGCCCCTTAAAATGGGAACACACTACCACTACAAGGTGCTCCTGAATGAGTGTTACACTGTTAGTTTAGAGTGCAGGTTCTAAGTTCAGATATAGCTCAAATGCCGTTTTTGCTAAGGCATTCCTCATTTTATTTCTACATGCATTTAACACATAGGAACTTAGCATCTTTTAAAGAACAAAGGCCTTTAAAGGGAAAGAAATCTTTCCATTATTAGATGTAGCTACATCTGGGGTTTACGATGGTCTCCTCTTTATCTTCATGCTGCATATCTTTTGCCACTCCCACCCGTGCTTCAAACACCGTCCTCTAATCTATACCCTAAGTAAGCTGTGGAACCATGAAAGGTGAGCAGAATCCTGAAACACCAGCTCTTTACTGAGTGTTACAATGAAAAAATGAAACAATAAATTGTTACAAAAATATTAACATTCATTTAGAAACACGGGCTGGAAAGCAAATTTATCAGCCCTTTTCAGTAGAAACAAAGTTTTGAAACACCACAAGTTCGTTTAAATTAAATTTAGTAAAATTGAAGACTCCACATCAGAGCACCTTTGTAAAGAAAGTAACACAACTCTTTTCTGACTACGTGGTGGCTCTGAAAAGAGCCTTTTGTTTAAAATTTCATGTCGTGCAAAGTCTGAGTAGCTTTGCTCGCCAGATTTATTTGCTTTTAGCTTTATGGCTCTCAGTCTTCTTGGGCAGCAGCACGGCCTGGATGTTGGGCAGCACGCCGCCCTGCGCGATCGTCACCTTGCCCAGCAGCTTGTTGAGCTCCTCGTCGTTGCGGATGGCGAGCTGCAGGTGGCGGGGGATGATGCGCGTCTTCTTGTTGTCGCGGGCCGCGTTGCCCGCCAGCTCCAGGATCTCGGCCGTCAGGTACTCCAGCACAGCTGCCATGTAGACGGGAGCTCCGGCACCCACCCGCTCCGCGTAGTTACCTTTTCGGAGAAGCCGATGGACACGGCCGACAGGGAACTGCAGCCCGGCCCGCGACGAGCGCGACTTGGCCTTAGCTCGGACCTTGCCTCCCTGTTTCCCGCGGCCGGACATGCTGGAAGCACTGACTGGACCGCAGACTGGACACGGACGAGAACCAGGACAATCATACTGACGCAAGCGCCGCTCCCCTTTTATCCCTTCCCTGGGCGGGTCAGCACGCGGAGATTGGCTGGAACCGGGCTCTGCCGAAAGAACCAATGAGCGGACGGATCGTGGTGTGACCAATCGGCGACGAAGACGCGCCCGGTACGGGAAGGTCCAATGGCATTGCGCGGTGCTGATGCCTTTAATTTGCATACACTTCTGTATAAATAGCGGGCGCCGCGGCCATTTTGCGTGCTGAGCTTCCTCCGGGTAGGAAAGCGCTGCCAAGATGCCCGAGCCGGCCAAGTCCGCCCCCGCGCCCAAGAAGGGCTCCAAGAAGGCGGTGACCAAGACGCAGAAGAAGGGCGACAAGAAGCGCAAGAAGAGCCGCAAGGAGAGCTACTCCATCTACGTGTACAAGGTGCTGAAGCAGGTGCACCCCGACACGGGCATCTCGTCCAAGGCCATGGGCATCATGAACTCCTTCGTCAACGACATCTTCGAGCGCATCGCGGGCGAGGCGTCGCGCCTGGCGCACTACAACAAGCGCTCCACCATCACCTCGCGGGAGATCCAGACGGCCGTGCGCCTGCTGCTGCCCGGCGAGCTGGCCAAGCACGCCGTGTCCGAGGGCACCAAGGCTGTCACCAAGTACACCAGCTCCAAGTAAGGAGTTTCGGATCGTCACTTAACCCAAAGGCTCTTTTAAGAGCCACCCACTTTTTCAATAAAAGAGCTGTTTCATGGTAGTGTCTCGGTCTTGGGTATGGAAATGTAACTTAAAAAAGTGGTAGGTAGAATTTTAAACAAGTGTTTAGTCAGCTACTAAATCTTGCAATAGTAATTACAAAGTTCTTGAATATTTTTTCAAGTTAGAGGTAGCTAAAATTTACTCTTAAATGTAAACGTTTAAGTATTTTTTAAATAAATGGAAGCAGTATTTTTTAACAGTAAAAATAAGAGACAATACAATATGTCCTATCCAAATTGGAAGTTTCACAGTTAAATTGGCAAACATGCTTCACGAAGGTAAAAACATTTAATTTTTATGAAAAGGCACAAGGATAAATACTCGACCCTCTTTATCGTTTGTATTGATGTTTCGGAATAGTCTCAAGCTAAAACATTTTGCCTTGTGTATGAGAAGACAAGGATTACATGCCTGGGGGACGGGAGAACACCCCTGAAATGGGGTAGACGCTTTAGGGGAATGAGATCTCAAGGAACGCGGGGGCCCGGGAGCACGGGTAGGCTCGGAGCCAAAGCGAGTAGTGCTCCGTGTCCCCCCTCCTTTTCTCCCTTTTCCACCCCATCCCCTCCCCCCTTCCCCTGCAGCGCGGGCTTTTCCAAATTTCCCAGCGACCCAATGAGCGGCTGCGGCTTCTCCCATCAGCCAATCGCAGGCGGCGCCGGGCAGCCCCCGGCGCTGCGCAGAGCTCCGCGCCGCTCCGCCCCTGCGCTGCCGCCCGGGGGCTCGGGACCGCTGCCCGGCCGCGCTCCCGCCGCCAGCCCGGCAGGGTGCGGAGAGGAACGCCGCTGACTCCTGCCCGCCTCCCGCCCCGGCAGTCGCCTCCTCGAAAAAAGTAGGTCGGTCAAGTCACGCAGAAATTAAGGCCTGCCCCACGCCAGCGCTGGCAAGCGGAAAGGTCATTGCCAAGGAAGCGGAGGAGCCGTGCTGACAGTTCCCGGCTACGGTCACTAAGAGGTGTGGCAGTCGCATCCGTGCTGTTAGGAATCGCGCTGATTTAGAGCAACGAAAGGAACCTCCACGCCCCAGAAAGGTACCCGCCCTTAAGCAGTCCCTTTAACATCTACACCCACTTGCGGTGCTCAAAAAAAAAAAAAAAAAAAAAAAAAAAAAAAAAAAAAAAAAAAAAAAAAAAGGCAGCCTTTAGAAAGCGTTTTCGCCGGGAATGTAAACTTTTATTTTTCCAAGTCTTAGTATAAAACCACGGCCGTAAGTTTAGCGTCCCATCCACTCCACAGACGAATGTCCCACACGGATAGTGGCAAATAGTTGGCTCTGCTGCAGGCACGGAGCTCAGTGACGGAGTGTATCAGCCCTTTTGGGGACAATAGTGGGTGGCTCTTAAAAGAGCCGTTGGGTTTAAAAGTATTTCCACTTCAGCACTTCATTTCTTCGGCGCTGCCTTCTTTGCCTTGGCTGTTTTAGGCTTAGCCGCCTTCGGCTTGGCCGCTTTGGGCTTCACCGCCTTTGCCTTAGCCGGGCTCTTCGCTGCTGCCGCCGCTTTTTTGGGCTTGGCGGCCTTTGTTGCCTTCTTGGGGCTCTTCGCTGCTTTCTTGGCTGAGGCGGCCGCTGGCTTCTTTGCTTTTTTAGGGCTCTTCTTCACCGCTGCAGCCTTCTTCGGCTTTTTGGCGGCGCTGGCGGGCTTCTTAGCCGCCGGCTTCTTGGGCTTGGCTGCAGCTGTTCTCTTCTTCGGGGCTTTTTCCTTCACCTCTCCGGGTTTCTTGCTGAGGCGAAAAGAGCCGGAGGCGCCGGTGCCCTTGGTCTGCACCAGGGTGCCCTTGCTGACGAGGCTCTTGAGCCCCAGCTTGATGCGGCTGTTGTTCTTCTCCACATCGTAGCCGCCGGCGGCCAGCGCCTTCTTGAGCGCGGCGAGGGAGAGCCCCTTGCGCTCCTTGGAGGCGGACACGGCCTTGGTGATCAGCTCGGTGACGCTGGGCCCCGCGGGCTTGCGGGCTTTGGAGCCGCTCGCCGCCTTCTTCGGCTTCTTGGCGGCGGCCTTGGCGGCGGGGGCCGCGACGGCGGGAGCGGCGGCGGGAGCGGTCTCCGACATCGCTGCAGAGACTTCTTCCTAATCAAAAGAAAGTAATTGGGCTACAGTAACCCCGATGCCTGAATTTATAGCGAAGCGGTGATCTGTGATTGGTGCTTTGCAGAGCCCGCCTAACTGTTAGCCAGGAAGAGCTTTTCCTCCTCCGAGTCTGTGTTTCTTCGGAGTTATAAATTCATATTTTTCGTAAAACGAGTGTCGCGAAATCACCCCAGTTTCTTCGGGGAGTGAAGAGAAGACGGTGGACTTTCATTCGGGCAAGTTTCTTGCTGTTTGGACCACAGATGGCAGAGAAAAGCTCTTTTAAACCCTGCGTTGTGAAGCCAGAAAGACCCCGGGAACGGCAAACTTTTGTTTTTCCTTCTAAATTAAAATAAAACACGTAGATAAAAAGTCTCCCCCGTAATGCAGGCTTACTCTTTGGGGGGTTTTCTTCAGATTAGGGCAGAAACTGAGTGATCAGCTTGAGTATTTTTGTCGTAAATTGGTTTCAAAGACAAGGAAGTAACACAATTTCATGGCTAAGCTTTGAATATGGATAAAGATTCGGCTCTCTTAACCATATCTTTAACTATTAAGGATACGGTATTTCAATATATTTTCTTGTTTGGGGAAAGGAAGAGACCTTAAGAGGAATATATATACTGTTTAAAAGTGTTTGGAACTTGCCAGGGCTATGCTTTTTGTTGTTGGGGTTTTTTTTTGTGTTGTTTTGTTTTGTTTTTTGTGTGGTGCTTTATAAGTGGATAGAAAGATTTTAATATTTTTACAAGTAGTCTGTCGGTAAAATGAAGCTGTTAATTCCTATATAATGCCTGGGAATCCCAGATAAACGGCTAGTTTAACACTATCTCTGTTACAATAGTGGATGGTATTCTTTATGACTTACAAACATCAGAGGCAGACTTGGAGAGGAAAAATGTCTAACAGGTATAGATACACTAATATGTATTATATGCATCTTAGACAATTATGCAGCTAGCTGAAGCATCAATTATCACCCAACAAATTAAATAATGTGGAAATATGGCCTTCATGAACAGAATGTTTCAGTATAACTTACAAATATTTGGATACTGACTGTTGTGGTTTGTGGAGGGTTTATCTTTGTTTTGTTGTTTTGTTGTTTGTTTTTTTTTTTATAGGTTTCATATTCCTCCAATTCTTTTCTTTAAAGGAAAAGAAAAAAACTCAGTATTGAGGTTTCCATCCCAAGCCTAAGAAAATGGAAATAATTTTCAGACAATCCTCACAAATCAGAATCAGTTTTAATGATCATAAGCCTGCTTAATTATTGAATCTGATAAAGTGACCACAGAAATGAATTAAAACTTTTAAGGACTGCAATGAATTATTTGAGGTAATTTTTTATGAAGTAAAAAGACAAAAGCCTCGATTGGTTTCTAATTAAAAAGCAGCCAGATTTTTTTTCCCCCTTGGTTTGAAAGAACAAGTTAAGATCAAACTTAATATTTTACCACATTGTACTTCGTAAAAAACTGTCATGAAAAATGACAGTGGGCTATTTCAACAAAAGAACATCTTTACTAGCCTGGATAAATTTGAGATTCAAAATGACATGAGGTATGTTACAAAGGGGGGCCCTGACATGTATTTTGATACATTGAGTGTTGAAGACACAAAGTTATACTTGATACCAAGAAGTTTTGATTTAAATGAGACAGATTAAAATGATAATGATACAGTAGATAAATTAAAATTACGAATGAAAACAATAAACTGTGGCTGTTCCATACTCTCTTTTATTTCTACTTTTATTTTGTTGTGCTTGCATGCAAGTGAGGTAATAAATTTTCTGAAGGAGAGAAAGGTAAGTGGAGATTGCAAAAGATTAAGCTTGTGAGTACTCCACAGTAAAAAACAGAATAAAGGGAATATCGAAGTGGGCTGTAAGATATGCCATGCCTCTCATGAACATGACATTGATCCCACATAAACCACTTGACCAAGTCCACAGTAGCCAGAGATTTTGAAAGTTCAGCGTGGCAAGTCATGTGAACAGTATGAATACGTTTGAGAGGTGAAAAAAGTATTTGGTTTGGTAAAATGAGGGCATTATGCATATTTTCCAGTCTAGATGAACAAACATAAAGCAGAGTCTGACTGTAAGTGATACAAAAGGGAGCAGGGAAGTGTTGTCATCTGTCCGGGTCTGTTCAATATGATATATGTTTTCAGAGAATAAGGCTGCACGATGGTTAACGTGCTTTAATCCCTGTAGCTTTGACAGTTTGGTGTTAGAGCTGTGACTGGTTTATTACACTTGAAACTGGTCAAGAACCTGGGAGCAACAGGGAGTGGACAATAGCCGCTCCTACAAGAATGCAGCTGCAGCCCCAGGGGTGCATCCTCCTTGCACCTCCCTCACATTCACACGTTTGAGCTTCAAGCTCGCTTTCAGTAAACCTGTTCTCAGCCCATCAGGAGAGAAGAGGTTTCCTTCCCTTCCCCCACAACACTCCGGAGGTTAGAGATAAAGGCACAAGATAGAAAGTGATGGGAGATCTCAGATCTTCCTAAGTAGCGCAGTCCCTACAACTCCACCTGCAGCACATGGGGGGTTGCTGTCCCTACTCTGTGCTGAGTTTTAAAGGCACAGGAACATTTCTGGGTGGTTTGAGGGGTTCTTTGTTTGGTTCCTTCTGTTTTGTTTTTGTAAGGAAAGCATGTGAAGAAGATTTTGAAGGTTGTCGTATGAAGTATTTCAAGGGTAGAATGTAGGACTTCTCTCACTTTTAGTTCTGGGTGCATCCCTATAAATCCCTCGTGTTCCCTGCTCCCTGTTTGGAATTGCACTTCTGAATTCCTTTGCTTTTTCCTAGTAGCCTGAGATTGGAAGTCTTGGCAGCTGGCCTTCGGCATTGTGTGTCAACATCCTTTATTGTATCTTTTCCTTAACCATCACACTGGTTCTTATCTGTGGAGAATTATCC